GGGCGAATTGGGTTTCTTTTTTTGGTTGTATTAACCCCATTGTTGCTTACTTTGAACTTTTGTTGTTTCTTGGCGTGTCGGTTGTTTGAATTACTCATCAGAGTTGAATTACCATCAATACCGGCATGCACTACATTTCCAAATTAAACAAAACACGTAAGAAAAAAAAAAGAATGACATGGTTAACCCTAAAGGGTAAGAGATTTTTCCCCCTCATTGATTTCACCATTAAAGCTGAATTTTTCTTTCCTTGTGATATTTCTCTATTAATGGTTAAGCAAGTAAAAAGTCGATAATGGCAGAAAAGATGGAGAAACTAAACAATTTTCTCTAATAATGGTGAAGCATATCTATAACTATTAAAAGTGAGAACTTGGCAAGTTGAAAACTTCTAAGTAATAGTGTGGTGACCCTTTTGCCCCTCAAAATGTTCAAGTACTATTTTGCCCTTATTTGCTCTTTGGTGATATGTTTCTTTGTTGTTTGCTCTGCCAGGATGCTTAGGTGGCGATAACTTTTCTTCTGATTACTGTATGAGCTAGCTTGGTCTTCATGGTGGTGGACAATTGGCGGCTGGAATGCACACCTGTTGCTCTTGTGGTTCTCTTCATGCAAGGATTGCATTGCTTATGGTGTCCTGCATGTACAGGGGAGTAGAAATGTATTAGGATTAGGAGTGTTTTAGGAATTTTGTAACATGGATTATTCTGCTTAAGTGTAAAGCTTTAGCAATTCCTTTCATAAAATTTGTTGTTGCACATTGTAATTATAGGATTAAATTTAGACTGGTTTGCTAAGTTTGTAATATTTTAATTTCTTTTAAGGATTGCTAAATCAAATGCTAATATTATGTTGTGTAACATGGGATTATTCTATTTAGGTGTAAAGTTTAAGCAATTCTTTTCATGAAATTTGTTGGTGTGCCTTGTAATAACATGATTAAATTTAGATTGGTTTGCTAAGTTTGTAATATTTAAATTTCTTGTAAGAATTGCTAAATCAAATGCTGATATTATGTAGTGATTGAGATACATATTTAGGTATTTTAGGGGATTGGCTAATGCAAATACTAATTTAAGGTTGCATTTGTGTTTGCGATTAGTGAATGCTTAGGAGGCTGCCTTTATTTACTAATTGTGTTGAGTTCATGTGGCTGAGTGTTCAACTTAATTGAGGCTTAAAGTTATTGGTTGCTTTTGTATTGGACGGTGCTGCTATGCTCAGGGTGTGATCAGGCGTGCTAGCAGTTACCAATGCCTTTTGTATTCGTTTTAAGGTTTTGTGTGTTGAATTTGACATTTAAAGCATGGCGGTGTGAGTTGGGCGGCTTAATCTGCTGGAGTCAGTGTCAAATTCACTGATTATTCCTTTTATCCACTGGTTTACTGGGTGCTCTGTGTTGGTAATGATAAATATTGAGTATCCCTTTGATTTTTTCTTCTGTTACATTACATACTTTAGCTTTAGGACCCTTTGTGAGGCTTTTCCGATTTAATTACAAATAAAGCAAGTTTTAAGTCATCTATATATAACTATTTTTTGAAAAAAGCAAAAAATGGGGTTTATAAATAAGGTCTACATTCAGTGAGTGAGGGCAGGAAGAGAGAAAGGAAGGAGCACTGTAAAAGGTTGGAGCATACATTGAGGTTGAGGTATATAAATTTAAGCTTAATTATTTTTAAAAAAATTTAGCTAAAATTTTATGATGAACAAGCTTTGCTGTTTTGTGTTTGGGGTGTAAATATTAGCTTTGTTTGGTTTCAAGTAATGCTCCATGGTTAGCAAGATCTCTATTTTACAAGCTCATTGTCCATGCTTGCATTGCTTTAGTTGGATTGCTTATATGGACATGGCAATTGTGGCTTCTGCTGGTTTGCTGTACAAGTCCTGCTGCCTTTGTATGCTGGTCAAGTATTGCGGGTTTCTCTTCCTTTGCTGTTGGAGTAAGTTTCCTGACCTTTGGTGATTTTTGCTGTCTTGTTATACCCTCAATCAGTGGTTGCCTGGTTTGTTTCTGTTTGGGTTTGGTGGTCAGTTTTGTGGAATGTTTTGTTATTTATAATGTTGTGTTTTCTGTCTGTGAATGCTGATATTTTTTTGGAAAAATTAGAAAAAATAATCCCAACTTTCATCAATTTTGGTAGAATAATCCCAACTTTGGATTATTCTAGAATAATCCGAACTTTGGGGGGTCTTCATTTTCTTCAGTCCTAATGACCGGTTACCTGTTGAAAAGGTTAAATTTTTTTTTTCTGTTTTTAAAAGCCACATGTCAGCTTGTCATTGGTAAAAAAAAAAAAAATTTAAAAAATAAAATAAATTAAAAATTAAAAATCAAAAATCAAAAAAAAAAAAATAAAAAAAATCCCCCCCAAACCACCCGTTCCCCCACCGAAACCACCCCCTCCCACCAACCCCTCCCCAGCCCCCACCCCGAAACTACCCCCACCCTGCCGGAAAAACCCCCCTTACCCCCCGACCACCACTCCCCACCGTCGAAACACCTCCCCCTCCCTTCCCCACCCACGAAACTCTCCCCCCTCCCTTTCCCCCACCCCGTAAACCCCTCCCCCCTCCCTTCCCCGACCCCGTAAAAACTCCCCTCCCCTTCCCCCACCCTCGAAAACGGCCGGAAATTAAGCCCTCTTGCCGTTTCCGGCCGTTATCGAGGGTGGGGGAAGGGGAGGAGGTAGTTTTTACGGGGTGGGGGAAGGAGGGGAGGGTTTTACGGGGGTGGGGGAATGGAGGGGAAGGGTTTCGTGGGTGGGGGAAGGGAGGGGAGGTGTTTCGGTGGGTGGGGAATGGTGGTTGGGGGTGGGGGAGTTTTCCGCCTGAGTGGGGGGTAATTTCGGGGTGGGGGCTGGGGGAAGGGGTGGTGGAGGGGGTGGTTTAGGTGGGGAAACCTGGTGGTTAGGGGGGATTTTTTTTTTTCTGATTTCTGATTTCTGATTTTTTTTTTAATTTAATTTTTTTGGACCAATGACAAGCTGACACGTGTCATGTGACCTCTTATTAAAGGTTGTTGACTCTCGTTGACCGGTTTGGGACTGAAGAAAATGAAGACCCCCTAAAGTTCGGATTATTCCAGAATAATCAAAAGTTGGGATTATTCTACCAAAATTGATGAAAGTTGGGATTATTTTTTCTAATTTTTCCTTTTTTTTTTGTGTGTTTGTTTTTGACAGGTTCTATTAATTCGACATTCAGGAGAGGAGTGTTCTGTAAGTATATTTGTAGTCTGTTAGTGTATGCAGCTTTGTTTGTGTGCAACATGTTTTTGACATTTTAGGAATTTTTTGGTGTGGTGGGATATATATTATGATTATTTGTGCAGTTTGTAGTTCAAGTTGGGGATTTAAATGTTGTGACTTATGTGATATTATATGTTCTTTCATAAATTTTTTGGGTTTTGTGGTTTAGCTTTTTCTAATGCATGCCTATTGTTTATGCTTGCTGTGTTGTGGCCTGGTTTGCAGTTCATTTTATGCCTTTAATTGTAAGATTATATGCTCTTTATGAATATAGTGATATAGTGCTGTGATATGGTGTGCAATTTGTGGTGCTTTAGGCAATTTAGGCAAGCAATTAGGGCTTGTTTGAGACAATTTAGGCAAGCAATTAGGGCTTGTTTGCTTGTAGGCTACAACTTGGCTGCTTGGGCTTCTTAAATGTGATTGTTGTTGTAAGCATACGTTTAAAAGGCATAGGTTATGTGATCAGTTTTTAAGAGTTGCATTTGGTTAAGTTCAAGTTTCAGCATTACAGCCTTTGACCTAGGGAGGGATTTGTCTTTGCATTTCGGTTTAGCTTTGGTCAGGGAACTTAGTCTTCTTTATATGTGTCTGAGGACCTAGCTGTTCTGGTTTCCTTATGCGTGGTTTTCTATACGGACAGGTGATGGCCAACCATCCTCGGAAAGTATCTATTTCCTACCAGTGTTTGTTGAACCAGGTTGTGGCATGTTTGGAGATGCCAGCTCCTCTGTACACTTTGTCTATAAATGGTGGAAATGCTGTTGAGCTACACCTGGATACGGGTGACGTGTTAGGGCCCTATGTGTAAAAGGTGGTCCTGTTGATACCCTCAAAGCCTCTATTAAAAAGGCATCTGAACAGGCTGTTAGGGGGTTAAGGGCTAAGTTTGGTGTTCAGGTTGATGACTTTTCGAGTGACAGAATTGGTAGGCTAGAGCGCTGTGGGTTCTTGTATGAGATGAAACGGTTGGGGTTGGAATCTATTGAAAAGCCTAATGGGAAGACACCTGTGAGGTGGCCTTCTGTTCCAAATCAGAAACGCGCTGCTAAGTACGTTTGCATTGATTACCTATATGTTTTGCGTACTTTGGCTGCTGACACTGGAGCCAGTGTCTCATCAGTTGAAGCTCTGGCAATAGCTGACAAGAAGTGCATTGCTTGGCTTACAATATGCAATCCATACTCTTCTGGTGGTCTAGAGTGCATATATAGTTCACTGACTGGGAAATGCAAGACTGCTGTTCAAGATGCAGCAAAGAAAAGAGTAGACTTTTTATGCTCAAGCTACAATTTGAACATTGTGGATTTGAATCATACAGATGTGATTTATGCTGGGATTAAGTGTGCTCTAGCAAAGGAGAGTTTTATGGCAGTTAAGGAGCGTGTCTTAGGTGTTCAGCAGCCATTGCATTTGCCTCCGTTTTTCACTGCAGCTGAGTGCAGCACTCCTAAATCTACTGCCCATCAGTTAAAGTCTTCTAGCTGTCCCCTAGCTGCACCACGGAAGCCTAAAGCACGCCCCAACAAAGCTTCTCGAGCTACTCTGACTCCTGTTGCAGTCCCTAAAGACTTAGAGCTTGTGTTTAAGCGCAGAAAATTAGGATAGAATCTAGGGGGAAAGGGTCTATTGGGGGCTATTTTGTGAACATGGCACATTTTTACAGCCGTAGTTAGAAATGCTTGTTTTAGAAACTAGCTTATGTCCTTGTTAGTGGTGATTAGCACTAATTATCTTTGTTATTCCTAAATGGCTGAAATTTGTGAGTGTGCCAGGACCCATTGGCCAGTTTATGTAAGCTTATGCTTTATGTGTTTCAATGATAATTATTCATTTTCTGGCGTATATTCTGGGCTATTGTTTGCTATTGTTTCTGTTATAGTGTTATTTCCTATTGTTCATTATATTTCTATTTTGTTTGCTTGTTCCTAGAATTGTTGTGTTCAACATTCTACAGCAGCTGTATTAGGCTGTATTTGTATTGTTGCTGCCATGAGTAAGGAATCTTGCCTTCTTTACTGTCTGGATCCCTGTTGTTGAGCATTAGCTAAGTGTGGTTGTTTTAAATTTTATGTGACGTAGACCGCTGCCTTAATTACAAGACACCTGCTAATGCTCGTTCCAACAAGCGCACACGGGCCTTGGATGCTATGGTTCAGCCATACTCAATACGGTATAGACTATATAAGTGATGTTGTTGCTGTCAGCTTTGGTGCACTGTGGTGTACAATGGTATTTTTCCTGATAATGTTTTGTAATTGCAGTGAAACTGGCGAAACAAGTCTTCAGGGTGCACAACAACACGTAGCTAAAAAAAATAAAATAAAGCCTAAGCCTAAGCCAAAACCAGAGCCAAAGCCAAAGCCTAAACCAAACAGTGAGCTCCTTTCATGAAGCGTGGTTTGTTATTGGCTTACCTTATAAACTAATGTTTTTCATTGTGCTGCAGTCAACCCAACTGCTGTTATTGGTAAGCCGCTGCCAGTTGGCCCTCTGCAATTAAAGGTGCTGCCTCCCTGTCTGAAGTGTGGTGCTAAAAAAATTGAACATGAAACATTGAATTTTTGTTGTGGAGATGGGGATATCAGAATTGCTTCAAATGAATACCCTCGTGAATTGGAGCGTTTATTTACATATGACGATGAAGATGCAGTGCACTTTAGGAAATATGCTCGGCTGTATAATAACTTATTTGCTTTCAGCTCGTTCAGAGGTGACCATGAAGCTAAAACTGAAAAGGGAATTTACGTGTTCAAAATGCATGGTCAGATATATCATTTTCTGCCTGATTTGTTACCAAAAGAGGGGGGGCCTAAGTTCCTGCAATTGTATTTCTATGATGGCCAATGTGAGGCTGTAAATAGGACTAAGTGTTTTCCAGAAGTTAGGGACGATATTATTGAAATTTTAATGAGAGTCACCAAAGACAATCCATATGCTCGGTTCTTTCGGTCTTTAAAAGAGATCAATGTAAGTGAGGATACGCAAATAGTTATCAATCAACATGCAGTTTTGGACCAACGCGTGTTCAATGCACCAACAAGTGATGAAGTGGCTGCTATATGGACAGACAGTACTAGTTCTAGCAACTCAGAAGGTCCATACATCTGTGTGTCTGGTAGATCAGATGACGTTCATCGAATATATCATTATTATGGATGCTATGATCCATTGCAGTATCCTCTTCTGTTTCCCTATGGTGATTGCGGATGGGCACAGGGGATGTGCAAATATTACAGAGACAAGCACCAGCATGGTTCAGCAGCAGTAGACCCTGTGCCATGTTTAGTTAACACAAAAGAAGATTTGCTTGCTGCAGAGGCTCTTCGTGAGTTCCTATATTACCATGACCTAATTTGTTCTTTTGTTATCTCTATTTGGGGGAAAAAAATGATAGAGCCCTTAGGTCATTGTGCTTACTGTCTTTTGTGTCTTATGTTCAGGTGCTTCAGAAAATAGTGGCACTTTAGAGAGGCATATTTCCCCAAGGCAGTATTATGCATATAAACTTCAAAATCGCCCGCACAATATGTTGTTTCGTGCAGGACATTGTTTCCAGCAGTATATTGTAGACATGTACATCAAAATAGAAAACACACGATTAGATTTCTTCAGGCGAAATCAGCAAACCATACGTGCTGATCTTTTCCAGGGAATTTAAGATTCTGTAGAAGGAGGTGAAACAAATGCTGTAAATGTTGGCCATAGAGTTATTCTTCCTCCAACTTTTATTGGAGGGCCACGTGATATGAAACGCCGATACTTAAATGCAATGTCATTGGTTCAGCGCTTTGGAAAGCCTGATTTATTTGTTACTATGACATGCAACGCTAAATGGCCTGAGATAACCGCTGAACTTGCTCCTGGAGAACTTGCAGAGAATCGTCCTGACCTTATAGCGCGTGTTTTCCGATCTAAACTTATCAGCCTTAAACATGAGATCATGAAAAAACATGTGATTGGTGAAGTTGAGGAAATGATATATGTGATTGAATTCCAAAAAAGAGGCCTTCCTCACGCTCACTTCTTAATCATTCTTAAAGGTGAATACAAGGTCAAATCACCTTCAGATTTTGATAAGTTTATGTGTGCTGAAATCCCTGTTGAGTGTGGCAATCTTCGGAAGATAGTCTTGGCCCATATGATGCATGGCCCTTGTGGCTTGCAGAACCCTTCATGTGGGTGCATGAAGAAGCAGGAAGATGGCTCTATTGCTTGTAAGTATAATTATCCTAGGGCATTTCTAAGTGAAACAACAAACAATGAAGATGGCTTCCCAATGTATCGAAGGAGAAATACTGGTGAAAGTGTGCGTATTCGGGGAGCTAACTTAGACAACCGGTGGGTCATTCCGTACAATCCCTATCTATCAACACTTTTTGACTGCCACTTGAATGTTGAGGTTTGTTCAACGATTAAGGCAGTTAAGTACTTGTACAAGTATGTGTACAAGGGCCATGATAGGGTGTCGTTCAGTGTGGCTGGCCAGCAGGATGCAGATTTGGATGAAATTAAAAACTTTCAATCTGGTAGATGGTTTTCTCCATGCGAAGCATCTTGGAGAATTTTTGGATTTGACTTATTTGAAATGCATCCACCTGTTCAGCTTCTACCTGTGCACTTGCCTAATATGCAAACTGTTGTTGTGCACCCAAATGAATGCTTAGACACTGTGGTTCAAAATGATAAGCGTACACGCACAGCTCTTACAGAATTCTTTAGGCTGAATGCAGCTATCCCTGGTGGTACAGGTCACCTGTAAAGTGAGATGACTGAACACTTTAGGTGGGAAATTGGAAAAAAGGCATAGTTTCAAAGACAAAATAAAAGAATAGTTGTTGGACGCTTAGCTTTTGTTGCTCCAGGCGAGGGTGAGAAGTTTTTCTTGCGTCTGCTACTTATTAATATTCGGAGTCCTAAGTCCTTTGAAGATTTGTTAACAGTGAATGGGCAAGTCTGTTGTACTTTCCAGGAAGCAGCTATTAAAAGAGGCTTAATGGAAGTAGATGGTGCAGTGGTGGCTTGTTTAGAGGAGGCATCAGAAGTGCAAATGCCTATAGCAATGAGACAACTCTTTGCTACTATCCTTATTTTCTGTCAGCCCAGCAATCCAAACAGTTTATGGCTACGCTTTTACAATTCACTAGCACAAGATTACAGGCATGCAAATCCAGGAGATGAAGACAAAGCAAGGAGGTTAACTGTAAGATCAATTGAACAGTCATTAGAAGGCATAGGTAGATCATTAGCAGATTTTGGCTTAGGGCATTTAATAGAACCAGATGATGCAGAAATCAGGAAAACCAAAGACATTGCTGATGCCTTGGAAGCACCAATACCTGATGAATGCATTTTTTGCAGAGACACTTTGAATTCAGCTCAGCAAATAGCGTTTGATAGCATTATGGAACATGTAAATGGCAGCATTGCTGGCTGCTTCTTTGTGGATGGTCCTGGTGGGACTAGAAAGACTTTTTTGTATAATGCACTGTACGCTGAGGTTCGGCTAGCTCAAAATATTTTATTGCCTACTGCAGCTTCAGGGATAGCAGCTTCAAACATACCATCTGGCATAACAGCACATTCCAGATTCAAAATTCCTCTTGATTCAGAGATATCTCTTGCATGTGATGTTCCTAGACAGGGTAGCCTGGTCGCTTTAATCAGAGCCACTTCTTTGATAATATGGGATGAAGAATCCACGGTACGACAGGAAAATGTGGAATCACTGGATCTGCTTCTCCGGGATCTCTGTGACCCTGATCAAGTATTTGGAGGAAAGGTAGTTGTATTTGGAGGGGATTTTAAGCAAGTTCTCCCTATTGTTCCTCGGAAGTCTCAAAGAGAAGTTGTGGCTGCAAGCTTAGTCAGCTCATACTTATGGCCTAAGATGATCAGGTTTCGATTGACAGAGAATATTAGAGCCAAACACGATCCTGCATATTCTGAGTTTTTACTGGCACTTGGAAATGGACAGCTGCAGAATACTGAGGTTGACTTTGTGCAGTTGCCACCACACATTGTACGTTGCTATGACCCGGAAATTGATCCTATACCAGCTGTGGCATGTGCTGCTTTCCCGAAAGTTGGCAGCATAGACATGTGTCCGAGCATTTTTACAGAGACAGCAATCCTAACGCCTATGAATGAAGATGTAGATTCGATCAATACTTATCTGATTGAACAATTCCCCGGAGAGCATGCTTCATACAAAAGCTTCGACTCTCTTCTTGATGATAATTGTACCCTCTACCCGACTGAATTCCCCAACAAATTATGTCCTGGAGGTATGAGCCCTCATGAACTCATCTTGAAGATAGACTGTCCTGTTATCTTACTGCGAAACATAGCACCATCTGAAGGTTTGTGTAATGGAACAAGGCTTATATGTAAGCACTTTTTGCCTAATAATATTCTATGCGTTATAGCAACAGGCCATTACAAAAGGAAATTTTGGTTTCTGCCACGCGTTAATCTCCGCCCTTCATCTTCAGCGAATTATCCCTTCCAATTTGAGAGGAAGCAATTTCCCATTAAGCTTAGTTTTGCCATGACAATCAACAAGTCACAAGGGCAAACATTGAACAAGGTTGTTGTATATCTCCCACAACCTTGCTTCTCACATGGCCAGCTATATGTAGCTCTCTCACGTGCTAAGAAATCCGAGAAAGTCACTGTCTTCAGCCCAAAGGTATCTACTGCTTTGTCTGCTTCACATGTAAAAAATGTTGTTTCTTATGATGTCTTAAGGTTAGCTTCAATTATTTAGGCAGGTGCAGCTACAATATTTTTGAGCTTCCCACAGTTCAGTTGCATTAGTTTTTGTACACATAGCCTGTCGCAATTTCAGAATTCAAATACATAGCTTGTGTTGTTATTGGATTTACATACATCCAGTATTTCCTTACTTTATATGCTATTGCCTTCATTTGGTTTTATCTGCTAAGTTTTGTTTGCCATTACTTATTTTAAGTGCTAGGCTGCATGTGCTACATATTTGCTAAACAAAGAACTGTTATTCTTTACTAGACTTTAACAAGAACAACCATTTTTAAACATTTTCTGGCTAAAACTGAGCTTAGCATTAATACAAAGGGCAGACATAAGACAGTGATAGATCTCACTTAGGATACATAGGACGATACACTTAATAAAGCTTAAGTACCTAGACACTGAATACCTAATATAAACCTAGACATATTTAGGATACATTCAGGATATTAATGACATTCACTTAGATCACTAGCAGTACAGTACAGGTTTAGCAGCCATTTAGATGACATAAAGGCTTTTCTACTTAGAATGAAACTCCACCTGAAGCATCACTTGCAGGGGTGTATGATGGGCTAGAGTGGTGGTGGATATCGGTGCTGTGAAAAATAGGATGCCCGATGTACTTGCTTGTTCCTTCCTGTGAGTTTTTCTTAGCTTCAATCTCATCATTTTGCATACAACAGTCTCCTTGTTGACTGGCCAGGTTACCTTCTGGTTCACCAAAACAGAGATCAGAAACAAGCTTCTCTAGCCTTTGCATCCTCTCTTCAAGTGAATTAACACGATCCACCACTGCCCCTATGTTTTCTTCTTTAGCCGACCCGTGTTGTCCAATGCTGCCCTCCTTGCCTTTGCCCTTGCTTTCCATTGTGAATGGTTTGCTTTTGAAATATGATGTTTGGAATGGCTAGGATAGCTCAAAAAACACTATATGTTTGTACCAGCTTAGTCTCATTTATATATACAAAGATGATGCACTCTATTGTTTTTAGGATAAAGGATGTCTTGCATAAGTCATCTCATCACAGCTCATACACCACACAATTGAGTTAGACCTTAAATAAACTGATGGGCAAAAGAGCTTGCTGATAAGATCATATGCCACTGAACATTACTTATAGCTAGAATTGCAGCCAATAAGTGTGCAATAGTTTTGAACCACTTGATGCAATGCATAGCATATAAGTGCCTATCTGATTGTACACAGGTGTTGGCTACAGCTATATGCTTCTGTAAAATGTAAGGCCTTTAATTTGAACCCTTTATCCAATCAACCTGTGTTGTAGATTTGCTGTGCACTATGCCATGAGCTCAGCAGATATTTGTCTATAAAAATAGATATTTTAAGCATCTTTCCTTGACACATTTAGCTTTCTCAATTAGGGCTTTAGCAATATTAAGATGTCCAGCCTATTTGATATATGCATGACAACTTTACACAGAAGATCATCACACACATAACAATACTACAAAGATGTTTATTAAATCAGTAGTTAATATATAAAACAGACAACATAGAACATCTCACTTCTGGAAAACATGTAATTAGGAATAGCACACTAAATCAAGCTTCATATAAAGGCTATCAACACAAGTAGCCTAAATTATATTCAACACAATGCACTTTTCTTATTATGTCTTCACAGTATTGTTAGGGCTTATTACATCGAACCTAGACTAGGGAATATCCTTACTGATTCACATTGGCACTAGATCTATATCAAAGAGTGCAGGATATCCTTTTCTATACTTAATTAATGCGCCTTGATTTTCTTGGACATTATACTGAGATGTGAAATTGGTGACTCTTTGTATCTCGCATTTGGTAATTAGGCCGCCATTCTTCACACATTTCACTTTAGCATAAAACTGTGTATCAAAGCTCTGAAGTAATACACAACTTGAGTCCTCGAGCTCGCTTAACCAGCAATTTGCAAATTTGACAGACACATTCTGCAGACAACAAGATAATATACAATGTTATTCCATACAGATAGTTTGGAGCTTCTTTTTTTTAAAAAAAAACAGCACTTATTATGAACACATACAATTGTCCCTTTCTTAAGATAGGGTGCTGTAAAAATAAATCTAAAATGCGGCTCACGAAAATGATCTGCAAGCTCCTCAAGGCGACCATTTGTTTCAGCCATACTTGCTGAACTGCCGTGATAAGCCGGCTTACGTCCTCGCCTCTTGCTCGAGCTGCTATTGCCCTTGTCAAGTCTGCTATCTTCTGTTCTCCTGCCACCTATTGGCCTCAGTATCTGAACATAGAATGCACTCTGGCCTGTATACGTAAATTTGAGACCATCACTTGGGATTACACCATTGTCTCTAACAAAATCACACCAGCCACCTTCTAAAACAGTGATCCAGTTATTTCCATCCTCTTGTTGTACCATGGTAGCTTCCCAGACTCTTGATTTACCATGCATTAGCAAATTAACACCTTGAAATCCTTCATATAATATGCCTTGAAATTCATCAGGAATGCGCTGCAGGGTAAAATGCAGGGCTAAATTATCAGCACAATTATAAAGTTAGCAATAAAAAACAAAAGCTAAGCATATAACAGTTTTAACATCCACATTAATGGTAACTGATTGTGTTACAGCATAGCAAAATAGTAGATCAATATGCTCCATTTCATACCACTATCTCTGCATCCTCAGGCTGATAACGAACAGTAAACGTAGTTGCATACCTAGCCATTGAACTTGAAAAACAAGCTATTGAGATAATTGTTGTTGCTTGTAATCACAGTTTTATGAATATTACATGCTTGATAGCAAGAAATGCTATATATAGAAGCAAAAACAGGCCAGTTTTTTTTATCAAATTAAATGCATTTAATATAGCCTTGACAAGAAAACACTTGAATAAGATTCTGTTTTCAGACATTGAAACAGAAGCCATATTCAATATTCTTTTTGAAAATTCAATGACAGTCATAATTGCAAGTCAAAAAAATTCATGAAGCTCATAATGCTCCACAAATATCTGTATTTTAAAACTATCATGTATGTTTTGGTACAGATTTAGCATATTTCATATAAACCAGATATGCTAAAAGACATTATATTATCTACAAATTGAACAGCAAGCCATTTCTTGATGCCAAGCATTGTACCTAAGTCAACTGTGTTCATAAAAATTGTGCTGCAATAAATAGTATACTATTGTTAAAGTCAACCCAAATTGGTTTCATTAGACTTTCAACCCTTGATTAATTGCACAGCTTTGAAAACTCTTGAAAGAACACTGTTTTCAACAATCAACCATGATGCAGTAGATATTCCTTCCCAATAATCATAAATAAGCTATTTATTATTCTCCAAAAACATAATAGCATATAAACAAGTAACTGACTTGTTCAAGGCTACCATGTATGTCCTAACACAAATGTATCTTTAAAGAGGCCATATATTATGTAGTGGCCTAATCCCAAAACCAATCCTAAATGTGTGATTCTATAGGCCCATCTTTATCTTAGTCTAAATTCTCAGTCTACCACATAAGCTTATGACCACATATGCAGCCCATTCTTTTGATTGCCAATATATCTACATTTCTCAATCCATAATATTAACCAATTCACACTCAGTTTCCAAGAGTGACATTATTTTTAAAACAAGACTAAAAAGATAGCATCTTGTAACCAAGTAATCATGGAACAACTAATTATTCAGTGGTTCTCAAATAAAACCAGCTATCTCTTCCTTCAAGGCTATTACACAGAAGATTACAACTCCACCCAATTCTAACATGATACTCTAAATAGACATTGAAAAGAATCTCCTTTTTTTTCTAATATAGAGTTCTTTACTATGATAGCCTGCTTTTTTAAAAACAAAAAAACTAAACTCTGCAACTTGCAAAACAAAAGCAAAGCAACCAGACCTATTTAACTGCTGGTTAATAGATTGCTGCCATCATTGACATTTTGTGCATATAGGTTATTAGATAGCAACTTCTTTTCAACCAGCTCCAAATCTCCAAGAAATATTTGCATTGGTAAACTTCAATGCTGCACAGATCAATAATAAAGCAGTCCAGCTTTCTAGGGAACTAAAACATAGTAGCAGCCTTTAATCTGTTGGTTAATAAACTACTCTCATCATTGCTCTATTTTGCACACAAGTTGTAAAGCAACGGCTAAGTATTTGATGTATATTTCAGCTGTTATAAGTGAATGCTACTAACAACTACCCTCTTTCCTGTTACAAAATTCTATACACAAGTTGCTCCAGCTTCCTCTTCTCATCCAATTGCATATCAAAGTTAGTTCATTAATGCCTTATGCTATTTATTTCTATCTTATAAAATTAATGATAATAATATTATGCATGATATAACTATATTATTCTTTCCTATATTGAAATTCTCATGTACATGGCATTTAATATCAATCATTTCTGCCTATATCATATAGCAACCTAGATCTATCATATCTGTCTAGTTATTTTTGCTGATTTTTGCTTGCAATTCTTACATTTAATGCTTCACAAAACTATTTCCTTAGATCTTCTTCATCTGGCATACTTAGATTGTACACCACTTTTTTATACATCATTTAATTTTTATGGCACTGTATTAGAGTGTCGCTTCCAACTAAAGTATACCTATAGCTTGCACAAATTACACTTGCCTTACTTAAGTGCCTACATAAAACCTGAATCTAAACTAAATTATTGTCACTTTGTAAGTAGGTGAGCTAATCAAACCCTGATATGTGCTTGCATATATGGTTAGCAAGCAAACACATGAAAGCTACTTAATACTTTTATTAATACTTAAGCTAGCAAAAAAAAAAAATATTATGGAAAACTACCTAGAGAATGATATGTGCATGCAAATATGCTTAGTTGGAAAAAACACTCAAATATGTACCTGCATATATGCTCAGTAAGCAAGCACATGAAAGCTACTTATTGTTTAATTAATACTAAAGCTAGCAAAAAAAAAAAATTGGAAAACTACCTAAAAATGATATGT